AAACATGTAGGAATATGTGTCTACTCAAGGAAGTCAGGTTTGCACAGATTTTGTGTTAGATTACACAACTCAATTCACAACTGAACAGGTTCACTCTACGAAATTATAATGATTATGTTTCGAATTGCTCAACAAATGTAAATGTTTGATAATATTTATTTGACTTTGTAGGTATTCAAAACTAAGGATGAATTGCTCAACTGGGTACATGAAGTTGGAAAGAGAAATGGTTTCGTCATTGTAATCAAAACTTCACACTATGGTGGAGGGAAAAAAAGACCCAGGATATATCTTGCTTGTGAGAGGAGTGGCCAATATAGAGTAACAAAGAAGTTAAAACATGATGGCAACAATGCATCAAGAATAACTGGTACGAAGAAGTGTGGTTGTCCTTTTGATATGAGGGCTCACAGGATTACCACACATGATGAATGAATATTGACCGTAGTATGCAGATTGCATAACCATCCATTTGCGGAGCACCTTGAGGGACATTCATATGTGGGGAGGCTATCAAAGGATGAGAAAGCATTGTTAATAGATATGTCAGAGAGCATGGTTCGGCCAAAAGAAATCCTAGTAACCTTAAAATAGCGAGATGCCCTCAATATAAGCACACTTAAACCATTTACAATGTACGCCATCGAAATAGGGTGGTACAGAGAGCTGGAAGATCACAGATGCAACACTTATTGGGTGAATTGGCCAAGTATAATTACATTGAGCGCCATCGACGTGAAGAGTCCACGATGACTGTGACAGACTTGTTTTGGGCACATCCTACCAGTTTGGACTTATTTCGGTCTTTCCCACGTATATTAATTATGGATTGCACATATAAAACCAACAGATATCGGCTTCCTCTTCTTGAAATTGTGGGAGTGACATCAACTGAAATGACATTCTCTATAGCTTTTGCATACTTACAGTACGATAGGGTTGATAACTATGCGTGGGTGTTAGCTACATTACGTGATGTCATGGATGGGTTTGTTGTGCCAACAGTTATTGTTACTGACAGAGAGCTAGCCTTGATGAATGCCATACATAAGATATTCCCGAGTGGCAGACATTTATTATGTCGTTGGCATATCAGTAAGAATGTACTGACCAAATGCAAGAAAATGTTTGAGACACAGCAAAAATGGGAGAAGTTCAACCATGAGTGGAACTCTTTAGTGTATTCATCTTCTGAAATTCAATATGATGAGCGTCTTAAATCATTACTTAAGGAATTCAGTAGTTATCCTGATGTGGCAATGTTATAACGAACCGGTAAGATTACTTTTGTTCAATATGTTATTAATAAGTGCCATGTACTTGATTTTAATTTGACTTACATTAAATTGAACATGGCTGAGAGTGCACATGCAAAACTTAAAAGACAATTGGGTTCATGTCAAGTCTCATTTCAGGCATCATTTGAGAAAATACACAGTCTGCTTGAGTTACAACACACTGATATCAAGGCTTCATTTGAGAAAAGTCTAACTGTTGTGCAACATCAATTTAAACCTTCTCAGTTTATGGAGCTACGGGGTAATGTGTCTATCTCTGCAGTAGAGTATTTGCTTGTAGAGAGTAAGAGAGCCAATTCCATTGGTATTGATGTTGAAGCTTGTGGATGCGTCCTTCGCCACACTCATGGTTTACCTTGTATCCATGAGATTGCTGACTACATCGGACAAGATCGTCCTATACCACTTGCTACCATACACTCACAGTGGAGGCAACTTCATATCTCCATATGCAAGAAACGAGGAAACGGAGGTGAGTTGTCATGCAGAAGTAGAGTTGTTTGTGAACAAGTTTAATGAAAGTGATAGAACCATGCGGTTGGAGCTTTTGAAGAAGTTGAAAAAGATTGTATATCGGGGAAGCACTTTTCTTGTTGAGCCGGAGGTGAAGCCCAAAACACGTCCTTGGGATCATAAGAAGATCAATGTTTCTACCCGTCGTGACCTGTGTGCATTTGAGTTCATGCAATCTGGACATGATTCCTTCTCACTTAGACACTCAAATCACTACATTAGCTTCTACTCTGGAAACCAATAAGAAGCGACCTGTTAAAGGAAAGAAGAAGGTGAATGTGAAAGGGAAGGTATACATTACTAGAGCAGTGAAACCTGGTGCATATGTTGATGCTTTCCCTTCTGGGTTGAAACCATACATTAAGTTTGTCAAGGATGTAGCTGCAGATGGGAATTGTGGTTTCAGGGCTATAACTGCTTCAATTGGTCATACAGAAAATGATTGGGCTCAGGTTAGGCGTGATCTGTTAGGTGAGCTGCACGCACACAAAGAGGAATACATTGCACTTTATGGGTCCTACGAAAGGTTTGAAGAATTGACAAGCATATTGTCATACTTCGAAGACAATCCTAGATACTCACATTGGATGACTATGCCAGACATGGGGCATCTTGTTGCATCGTGCTACAATCTTGTGTTATACCACTTGTCATTACAGCAATGTCTCACCTTTTTACCTCTTAGAACAGTGCCAGTACCTCAACTTGATAGACGTGAGATTGCCATTGGGTTTGTCAACGAAAATCATTTCGTCCAGGTATAACAGAAACTTATCAATTTGTGCATGTACAAGAAGTTATGAGGTATGACCATTAACTCAATTGACATTTGGTGCAGGTTTTGTTGCAGCCAGGCCATCTAGTTCCTCCTATAGCCACTAATTGGCGAAAATACCGTCACCCTTGCGCTGTCGACTGGGATGATACATATGTGCGCCGAATTCAACATTTCAAGGACATTATTCATGATACTGTAGCTATTTGAGAGACATTTGATGTTGTTGATGTCACATGACATATGTATGCATTTGACAATGTTAGAAATATGGAAGAAATTAATAGATGTGTTTTTGATGTTGATGTGTTTTGTGGCATGGATTGAATGTTATCGACCATTGTTACCATTCCATTGTAATAAGAAAATACCATTTACAAAATCAACGACCATTGTTACCATTCCATTCTAATAATAAAATGTCATTTTCAATGGTATCAACCATTGTTGCCATTTCATTCTAATAAGAAAATATTGACCACTGTTACCATTACAACAATATCATCTTACAAAAAACACCACAAAAAATTCATCAACTAACAAATAACATGTCACGAATCAGCTGTATGCCTACGCCTAGGCCTATGACTGTATGTCAATGTCGGAGATGAAAAGCGACCTCCAGTATAACTGGGTCCAGCAGAACTAGGTCCAGCTTCGTCAATGTGCTGACCTTCAAGGACATGCGTCATAGTCTCGATAGCCTAGTAAAGTTGATGAGGATATCGAATCCCCTCCTCATAACCAGCCTCAATAATAGGATGTGAAATCTGCTGTGCATGTGCAATATGTTGCATTTGAAAAGAATATCACATTTTAGGTTTTTATATCAGAAAATAAAAAGTAAGTTACAAATGCATAAGAGAGGATAATATATTACATCGGCATGTTGGCTGAAATCCTGATGGTCATGTAAAGTGTTTTTGAATTAAAGTATATGAAGGGTAAGATAAATGAAAAGTGTTAAAATTATCTGAGGACGAGTAAACTTACATCAGTCGCTACCAAACTGTCAAGCTCTGCTCGAAAAGATTTCAAATGATCAATGGAGGAACCCACCTCTCTCCTAGATGCCCAATGGTACACGTGTGGCATGTTTTCATTATAGTCCATGTTCTGGTGAGGTCGGAATGCTCGGAAGTGTTCATAAATCCACGCCTCCAAAAGAGTCATATAACCACCCACCTGTTTAACACCGGACCGGCTAGCATACCCCAACTGTCTATATAAAAACGCTAATGCAGCAGGACCTCAGGCGTAAGTATGAATGGATCCCAAATCCATCAATAAGCCAAGGTAAACAACAGGAACCCTGCCGCCACTCTTGTCATTGAAGAGCGTACATCCCAACAGAAACAACAAATAAGCTCTAGCAGCGCACTGTATAGCCTCCTCTGGATCTGAATCTGTGACACCAGCAAACTGACTTCGCAACCACTCAAGCCTGACTGAATTCCCACCAGAAGTAGAAACCTCTTCATGTGCTACACATTCAGTAATCCCTAAGCCATAAACCAGTAGTGTAACTCCATGATGATCTGTCACATCTGGTACGCTGACTGATTTGCCTACAATGGGAAGGCCAAGAATAGTGCCAACATCATCCAGGGTCAAGGTCATCTCACCAACTGTCATGTGAAATGTGTTCGTCTCAGGTTGTCATCTCTTAACAAAACTGGAGATTAGAAGCTTGTCGATGAACCGATAAGTGCAACGAGCTAACTGTGATAGCCTAGACTGCTCAATAATGGCTTTGAATCTGGTGTTATTGTCTACTGACCACCATGGCCATGCAAGGATCTTCGAAGAGTGATTATGACACTTTAGGGGCCCTTGTTCCTATAACACAAATAATATCTCATTAGAAACTACCATACAACACACACAGAAAACAAAAATTTCATATACAAATGAATTTCACTACTACAAGGTGCAAGCTAGTTAGTTCGTAGAAAAATGGGTTAGAGTGAGAACCTCCTCCTTCTCTCTAGAAACCTTTGTTTCTAGGGTTTCTGCATTCAATATTTCATTGAGCGGCGCTAATCTTAATGGTAGTTAATAACCCAAATATAGTGATGACCATTAAAGATGTGAGAGAAACCAATGTTGTAACCAAGGTTAGTAGTGTGGAAGTCAAAAATACCCAAATCGTTGAGTCACGATTAGGGTTAAATAATCAAGTTTGCACAAATCTGAGTGTGTTAACGATGAGCGATTCTGGGAACATTGGTCAAAGCTCGAACCCTAACCCTTCAAAGGGTAATACCGCGGATGGCTTATCAGAATCAAACAACCAATCTTTGGATCTTCAAAGGATAGCAGATCATCTTCAACGGCTTAGAGACCTGGAGTCGATTGGTATAGTCCCCAAATCATCGATCGAGTCCCATCTAAACCCTAGGTAGGCTGTAGAGATGGAGAAAGAAGATTTGTCTTTCAAAAATATCCCAAATAGCTTGGAGGTCGCGAGAATAAGGGCCGATGGGAAGAAGCGTGATGCACTTACCCTTCTTTTCGACCCTACAATTAATCCAGATGATCAGGATCCTAATAGTGATCCTGAAACCCTTGATGAGAACGATAGCATTGAATCTCATAGTTGAGGGGGGGGGAAGCAGTTACAGAGGCAGCCGAGGGGGTAGGGGGCAAGGTGGAGGTAGAGGTCAAAATAGGGTTTCTGAAGCTAAGAAATCGTGGGCCGAGGTTGCTGCAACTGCGAATCGTCCGTGCTTACCTTTAAGGTATGTTCCTCCTTCAGTTAATGATGAGTTTGTCAGTGTTAACCTTCCTCCTAGACTAGATCCATTGGAAAAATGGGATTCTTGCTTAGTGGGGTACTTCATTGACAAGGGCGTTGCTTTTAACTATATGAGGAATAGTGCTTTCAGTATGTGCAAAAATAAAGGGCTATAGGAAGTGCTTGCCAATGGGGAGGGTTTCATTTTTTTCATCTTTGAAAGCCCTAGCTACTGTAGTGAAGTCCTTGAGGAAGGGAATATTGGGATACTGATGGATTGAGTAGGATAGCGAGTGCGGTTGGAGTTCCTTTATTCACGGACCATCTGACAGATAAGAGGACTAGAGTGGCATTTGCTAGGATTTGTGTGGAAGTGGATGCTAATGCCAAACAACCACCTTCTTTCCCTGTCTACTGTGGGGAAAGACAGGTGATTGTTAAGGTTGAATATCAGGGGCTCCCGGCTAAATGCGAACATTGTTTGGTCTTTGGGCACGACACAACAAAGTGTGTTGCTACACAAGTAGCAAAGTTAGTTAACCTTCAAAAAGAAACTGAGAATAATCCAGATCTTGGATGGAGCACAGTCAAGGCAAAGGATAAGAGGAAAATGGGTGATCCAGAGCCTATCGAGGAAGAGATGGTTGAGAATCTAGCTACAAATAATTCAGATGTGGAAGTTTAGACTCAAGCTCCAGAGATCAATAGCCAGGTTCCATCAGAGACTATCAATGCCATGGTTACTGACACAATTCTGGGCAATTAGAGTGTTAATATTGCAGATGCCGTTAACTCTGATACTGCTATGCCTCACTGCATAGATGGCCTAGTAGAGATACAAAAGGAGCTGTTAGACATTGCTATGATAGCTCTTCCTGGGGACTCCGAAATTTTGGAAAAAGTGGAGAATCTGGTCACCACTGAGGACAGCTTACAAGCTACACCTGACAACTGTTCTACAAGTTCTACCACCAAAAAATCCTCTGGCAAGGGTAAGAGCCAGAGGAAGAAAAAGAGGTAACTCCTGTTCCTTGGGTTGAGAATTTAGTTTTTGTTTCCCATGTCTTTTAAAATTGCTTCTTGGAATATTAGAGGGTTCAATGACCCCTCTAGGCAAAAAGAATTGAGGAAATTTTTGATTAAGGAAGAAATTAAGGTTATGGGTATTTTGGAGACCAAAATAAAAGCTATTAATGAAAATAAAATTTTCTCATCTTGTATGAGCAAATGGTCTTTTTTGACTAATTCTCAACCAAATAAAACTGGTAGGATTTGTGTGTATTAGGATCCTGATTTTTGTAATGTCACAATGCTTAACTTTTCTGATCAGTATATTCTTTGTGAAATTACTGATTTATCTCAGGCCAAGGTTTTCATTTTGTTTATGCTGAGAATAGCCCTATTTTGAGGAAAGATTTTTTTGATAATATGCTGAGGCTATCTCTCTTTAACTCTGCCACCCCTTTATCTTTTCTAGGGGATTTTAATGCTATTAGGTATAGTTTTGAAAATTTTGGGGACTCTCTTCAGTGGAATTGTGAGAAAGAGGTTTTCAACTCTTACATTCTAAATGCTAAGCTTGTTGATTTATCCTATGGGGGGTGCCAATTTACTTGGGCTAACAAAAGGACTAGGGGTGACTACATAGCCACTAAAATTGTTAGAGTTTTGGTCAATGAGTCATGGGTTGATCAATTCCCTACGTCTAGTGCTATATTTCTCCCCTCTAGTATATCTGACCACTCTCCAGTTGTTGTTACTGTTTTTGGCAAGGCCCCCTCTTTCAAAAAACCGTTTAAATATTTTGACTTTTGGGCCAAACATGAGGAGTTCCTTCCTTTAGTTTTGCAGGACTGGAACTAATACATTATTGGTGTTCCCATGTTCAGAGTTTGCCAGAAACTCTGTAGTCTGAAACCTATCCTTAAATCCTTGAACAAGAAGGATTTTAGTGATATTTCTACTAGAGTCCTGGCTACTAAAGCTGAGTTGGATTCCATTCAATGGAATGTAGATAAGGATCCTAGTAATAGCTCTTTTCAAATCCTTGAAAGGAGTCTTCTTAAAAAGTATGTGGATCTTAGTGCTGCCGAGGAGAGCCTGGCCCATTAGAAATCTAGGGTCCAGTGGCTTGGCTTGGGAGACAAGAATAGCATATTTTTCTTTAGATCTGTTAAGAGTAACACAAATAGAGGTAAAATTCTTAATGTTGAGCTTGAGGGTGGTAGGTTTCGTCTAAACCTGAGGATGTTCATAATGCATTTATAGATTATTTTTCTAAGCTTTTTGGCACTCCTCCTCAAGATCAGTATAGGGGCTCTAGTAGAGTTCAAAATCTTATCCATTCTAGAGTCACTACTGATCAAGCTATTAAAATGGCTAGCCCTGTTTCTGACAAGGAGATTAAGGATGTTTTCTGGTCATTAAAAGCTAATAAGGCCCCGGGCCCTGACGGGTTTCAGCGGGTTTCTTTAAAAGTGCTTGGAGTGTTGTTGGTAAAGATGTGACCCAGGCTATAAGAGCTTTTTTTGAATCTGGAAAGCTCATTTCTGAAATCAATAATACTACCATTGCTCTCATTCCTAAAATTCCTAACTTGGTGAAAGTTGGGGATTACAGACCTATCTCCAGCTGTAATACAATCTATAAGTGCATTGCTAAGATTATTGCTAATAGAATTAAAGCTGTCCTCCCTGATCTTATTGATCCTGTTCAATTTGCTTTTGTTCATGTGAGGAGAATCTTTGATAATTTTTTCCTGTCTCAAGAGATCATGAGAGGTTATCATAAGGAATCTCCTGTTCCTAAGTGTGCTATGAAAGTGGATATTATGAAAGCTTATGACACTGTTAGATGAGAGTTCATCATTGATATTCTTACTGCTATGGGGTTTCCCCAAGTTATGATCTCATGGATTAAAGCTTGTATGACTAGTCCCTCATTTTCTATCTATATTAATGGTAGCCTTCACGGCTACTTTAAAGGGGCTAGAGGTCTTAGGCAAGGAGATCCTATGTATCCTTATCTATTTGTTTTGGCTATGGAGGGCCTTTCTAGGATCTTGGATGAAAAATCTAAGCATCCTCTCTTCAGATTTCACTGGAGATGTGAAAAAACTAGAATTGTTAATCTTTGCTTTGCTGATGATCTTATGATCTCAGTAAAGACGATGTTAACACTGTTCGGTTGATTATGGAAGGTTTGGATGAGTTCAGCTCACTATCTGGCCTCACTCCTAATCCTAGCAAGAGCAATATCTATTTCTCTGGGTGTAATAAGGTGTTGAGAGAGGGTATCCTTCAAATTGCCACTTTTACTGAGGGGACACTTCCTGTCAAATACCTTGGAGTGCCCCTTATCACTACCAAGTTGAAAGCCTTGGATTGTAATCAACTTGTTGACAAAATCACCAAGAGGATTGGTAGTTGGACCAACAAATTTCTCTCCTATGCTGGTAGGGCACAAATTATCCAGACCATCTTGTTCTCCATGCAAGTGTATTGGTCTTCCTTGTTTATTCTGCCTAAGAAAGTTATTAAGGAGATTGAGTATCTTTTTAGAGCCTTTCTTTGGTCTGGCACGGATCTTAGGAAGCATAGTGCGAAGATTGCTTGGGATATAGTTTGCACTCATAAGAAAGAGGGTGGTCTTGGCTTTAAATCTATAGAGATTTGGAATAAGGCTGCCATTGCCAAACATGTTTGGTTCCTCTTTTCAGGAGGAGAAAAATCTATGTGGTGCCAATGGGTCAAATCCTATCTCATCAAGGGGAGGTGTTTTTGGAAGATCAAAATACCTAATGACCCTTCGTGGGTCTGGAGGAAAATCCTCTCGCTTAGGCCTATTATCTACCCTCTTATTAGACATAGGATTGGTGATGATCAGGATACATTTTTGTGGTATGACAACTAGCATCATCTGGGCCCTCTTTGGGATAGGTATGGTGACAGAATCATGTATGACTCTGGTTTAAATGGGAATTCCAAAGTTAGTCAAATTATTGTAGGGGGTTCCTGGAAATGGCCTTTTCCTAACTCTTGGGATCTTAGGGAATTAACCTTCCAAACCCCTAACAGTAGTTTTCCTAAACCTTTGGAGTTAGATAAAGCTATCTGGTCCTTAAACCCAGATGATGAATTCATTATCAAATCTTCTTGGGAGTTGTGGAGAAATAAGCAGGATACTGTTCCTTGGTACAATTTGGTTGGGGCCATTCTAGTATTCCCAAAGTCAGTTTTGTGGTTTGGATGGCTATCTATGGTAGGTTGAATACAAGTGATAGACTCCAACTGTTTGGTATATCTTGTAGACCAACTTGTCCATTCTGCCTTGATCATGATGAAAGTCATTCACATCTTTTCTTTGACTGCACTTTCACATACAGAATTTGGCTTGTAATGCAAGGTAAATGCAATGTTCAATGGAATAATGTGCCTTGGCTTGAAATTGTTACGATTGTCCATAGTGAGAGTAAAGGGATGTCTTTGAAATCTATCATTACTAGACTCTCATTTCTCTACACTGTGTACTATGTTTGGATTGAAAGGAATAACATAATTTTTAATAAAGAATGCAAGCCGGTTGAGGTTACTATTACCTCTATTGTGCTGATGGTGAGGAGTAGAATGTTGTCTATTAGCAATATTCCTATGGCAGCAGGTGATAATTAGTTCCTGATGCATTGGAATCTTCCTACTTCCATCCTGAAGCCCCATGTTTGCAGTGGTGGGAGGGCTGCTGAGTGATGTGAGTTCAGTATAGGGAGAGTCGAGTGATTGTGAACATGATATTGAGTGTTAATCTAATTATCTGTTACATGTGTAGGTGTATTCTTATGGAGCTTGATTTTATATGTGGGTTGAGTGTGGTGAGACAAATAGTTATTATTTCCTCAAACTTCTGTAGGTTGAGTGAAACTAGTCTCTATATGTTTTATAAGCTTACCATTATATATATTGCATCTCTTTATGTGCAGGTTAAGGAAGCTTTTTCCGAGTGTGGTGAGGTCTTATATTAGGTGTATTCTTATGGAGCTTGATTTTATATGTGGGTTGAGTGTGGTGAGACAAATAGTTATTATTTCCTCAAACTTCTATGGGTTGAGTGAAACTAGTCTCTATATGTTTTATAAGCTTACCATTATATATATTGCATCTCTTTATGTGCAGGTTAAGAAGCTTTTTCCGAGTGTGGTGAGGTCTTATATTATGGGTTGAGTGATGTGAGCCCACATTATGTGAATTTAGCAAACATTGTCTTGGGTCTTCTTTATCTCACTGATAATGTTTTCTATATATCTCTGCTGTCCTGGTAGGTCATTCTACATTGTCTAGGACAAACAATCCATCGCTGCTCAACTAAGGCCTGCTATCTCAAGCTGCAGTTGTAGTCTTCGAAGTTGGCTAGAGTGAGGAATGGGTCTATGGGAGTGGCTGCTGCATGCGCCATCCGAAAAACTCAAATTGTTCATAAGCTATTTGTTATTTTCTTTTTGTTTTATACCTACTATAGCTACATTCGTATTTTGCCTACTCTAGTGGGATGTATTAGAGACGTTTTGTTACTCGTTACTAAGCTGCTGGATGCATGCATTAGTTGCTGGTTTCTTCTCCAGCGCCTTTTGGGATTCCTATTACATCCCGTGGGGAGTTTGTTTCAAGGCTATGCTGGTTCAGGGTTGTGTGATACCTGAATGGGATATTTTGATTGCTACTGTTTTGATGATGTGGATGACTGGATCTTAGCTGTTATTTGCTTCTTTATTGGTTTTTGTTAGTTTCTTCGCTTTTGTTTAATTGTTATTTCTCTTAGATATAGTGCTTGAACATTTTGCGTCTGGTTTTTATTTATGTTTGCTTTTCTTGGTTTTGCTTTCTCTTGTATAGTGCGTGTAGGGCCTAGGGCATACCTCTTGTAAATTTTGTTCATTCTTATGTTTTATTTTATGACTTATTCACCCAAAAAAAAAATTTCACTTATATTCAGGAATGTTTACCTCCCCGTGCCAAACAGCTGCAGCGACATGACTATTGAAACTCCGCAATATTGATGGATCAGTCGGTCCACCTAGAAAAGCATGAGTAAGGTCCTCTTCCTGGACAGTAGGAGAATCGGGTAAAGAGGCATCTTCCATAGCAATGTCAGGCATATCATAACCTTGAACTCGTCTTTGGCTTCGGCTCCGACTTTGACTGGCACTAGGGATATCATATTCTACCGAAACTGGATCACGACCTTGACCACGACCTTCACCTCGTCCTCGGCCATGACCTCGTTCCCGTTCATGGTCAACATCTAATTCACGACGTCGTCTATTTGAAGCAGTAGGTAGGACACGTTGTTGACATTCAAAATCCATATTATCTGCAAAAAAGAATATGTTTAATGATTATACAATTGAAACAAGAATATACAAAAGAATGGGGGGAAAAAAACTGTTCGGAAGTTGTAATAACCCTCACCACTGTTTACTGATAAGCCATTGATTACTGTTAAACTGAGGCTAAATATGTTAATTGACTGACTGACTGAAAACTGAAGCCAAATTGATTGAGTATATTAGTTAAATTGCAACTCTATCTGTTTGACTGTTTAATTATCTGTTCATGTTTTATGCTTTAAACTGCAAATTGAAGGCCTTATCGGCGGCCGAATCCGAAATTGATTGATGATTTATGATCATTAGAATTTATGTGATTTTATGGTGTATTTATCCGAAATGTGAATTGGTATGCTTAAATTAGATTAAACGTTGATAAATTGCACCAATTGACTTAATTCACCAAAATGCCCACTAGTAGCCCACTATCTAAACACATTTGAGCCTTCTTCAAACATACTTCTTCAGCCATTTTGAGTCCCATAGCCGACTAGAGTGAGGGAGTGTGAGGAATTGAGTTCAACTTGGAGAATTGGCTAGAGAACTTGAAGAAATTGTTAAGGATTTGTGCAATTGAGTTTCTATACTTGAATACAAGACTTAAGGTAGAAATTCATCTTCTCATTCTTGTGTTTAAATTGATTCTTGCATGGTTTAGAGCAAAGTTGAAGACTAGAGCCAATTTGTGGCTCAAATTGTTGTGTTGAAGCTTAATTGTTGCATGCATGTATATATATATTGAAGTTATGAGATTGTAGTTCATAATTCCTCACATGCATGTCTATGTTTTGAGAGTAAACCATGATTTCATCTTGATTTTGTAAGAATTGACTCATTAGAGCAAGTATTGGAAGCTTTGAATTAGTTAAATTCAGGCATGTTTGCATGTTCTTCATATTCATGAAATTTAGTTTCAATTTGGGCTCAATTAATCTTCCTTTGGGGCTTTGATTTTACATTTGAGCTTTGAATCATGTTAAACTTTGAGTTTTGGAATGTTTTCTAGAAAATTGGCCCAAATAGTATGGTTTTGATGCATCTAATGTTGAATTTGAGCTTGAGGTTCAAATCTGGGAATTCCAGATTTTGAACTCACGCTCGAGCGGGGTGACTGGCGCTCGAGCGTGGAAATCGTGCTCCCAGCATTTTGTTCTGTTTTTGAGTCAGCTCGAACGGAGTAATTAACGCTCGAGCGGGACCTTATGTCTTACGCTCGAGCGGGTGTCGAGCGCCCAATCGAGCGTGAATTTCACCTATTCAGCACTTTTGACTGTTTTGCAGAACGCTCGAGTGGGTAAGTCTACGCTCGAGTGGAAACCTTTGTCTGCATGTTTGCTCGAGCGGAGTAACCTATGCTCGAGCGTGACCTCTGTTTTCTGAAAATGCTTTTAAAGGGCATCCTTGCATCCTCATTTCATCATAGGCATTCCTAGGCCTAGTTTAAGGCATCTTAATGAGGATATAGATATAGAACCACA